TATATATATATATATTGTAGTATATATATATATAAATATATTGTATATAGAAATATATTATATATAATAGTAGTATAAGAGAAAATCCTAGAAAATCGTATTCCTCGGTCATCGAGATATCCAAGAACCTGCATCATATAAAAGAGACTATTTCTCTAACCTAGAGAATCGTAAATTTGATAGGAAAACCGACGCGACTAAAGCTATACTAGATATCGTCGATCGCTTATACGAAGAAACGAACCGCAGCTGAAAGTTGAGCTTTCGAGCTTTCGATGCTAGCTGTATTCTCCTCATATATATATATATATTTTTTTTTTCACATCTTGCTCTATTTCTCTCTCTTTTTCTTTTCTATCCGTCTCGTTCTTTCTTATTACCCTCACCACACACACTCACACACATCATGAAGAAGAAGGATTTCATTCACGAAACTGAGAGAAATTTGTTAGTTATAGATCTATCCTTTTCAAGGATAAAAATCTTTACTTTACCGAACCGTAAGTATCAGGACAATAAGTATAAATTTTACACATTTTCTATGATAACAAAAAAAAAATAAATAAAATAGAATGACGAAGAAAAAAAGATTACATCCTCTAAAAGCAATGTTGTTTTCATTCTGACATTTTTATAAATGAAAAAAAAACCATATTTCGTTGTTATAAATAACTATGGTAATTCATATTACATTAATTTATTTATAAAATAATTAATTAATTAAAAAAAAAAAAACAAGAAAAAGATACAAGTAAGCCCAGTGCCATCTGTTGGTCATAGATTTTAATAAGTGTGCGAAACATTTGAATATAACCTAAAATTTGATTAACAAATATCTGTTTTTTCTTCGGTGATGGAGTTTTTAGCTTTTTTACGTTTTCCTCTATCGTTTTTAAAAGCTCTTCGTGCTCGTTTACTTTTACTTGGTTCAGGGTGTTCTTCTTTCGTTTATTCGTTCATTCGTTCGTTGGAAAAAAAAAATGGAGTGGTGGTGGGAAGTTGAACTATCCAAGTTGGTCGAACAGAGGAGGCCTTGTGCCCGAGTAAATCACCGTGGATTTAAGTGGATTCTGCAAACTCTCCTCCACCTTCTTCTTCTTCTTCTTCTTCTTCTTCTTCTTCTTCTTCTATTTTTCCTCTTCCATCTTTACTAACCCTTTTCCTTCAACCTCATTCTCTCTGTCCCTATTTCATTCTATTTTCTTTTATTTTTTTATTTCTTTCTTTCTCATTTTATTATCTCTGCATCGACTACAATGTGTCCTTTTTGATACACCCCTTTCGTAAGAAATAATTTATACACCCTGTATAATAAATTTGTCAATTATCCTTTTATTT